ATGTCTAGTAGAGGGTAAACTTCATTACACGTTTTAAAAGAAAATTAATATATTTTATATATAAAAAATATATTACACTCTCCAAAAGAAAGATTTGGAAAAATTTAAAATCTACTTTTTTACTGCAGAGCACATAAAATCTCAACTTCCATTTAATAATTAACAAGTTGCACATGTTGAATCATTAAGCATATGTTGAATTAGAAATATTAAAAAAAATCTTGATATCACTATGTTATTATGAGGAATAACATATTTTTAACTATCACATTTTATCAATATTTGAAACAATTGTTTAGATCAATAACCCTCAATGAACAAAATGTGAGAAATCAACTGCAAAGCTAAAAGATATCTAATAGTATTGCTAATAAATTGACCAATACTATTTATTTTTATAGAAGTATCAACTACCCTAATAAAGTAATTAATATGATCATGTTTTAATGTTATAAACAAAACTTGAGGAAAGATACAGAAATTAATCTAGATACAAGGGAATATAAAAGATATTTTATTCCCTCTTGCTAAGAGACAGAATAAAAATTTAAATTAAAAAGTGTATGTGCACAAGACAATATTTAAATTAATATGTCGAAGTGAAAATTAAAGAACCTGGGTTAAATATTTTTACAAATGTATGGATAGAGTATACATAAGCAATTTTAATGCTCTTTGACAAGACTGTCTTCATTACAGTAAATAGTAAAAATTATATGAAACTTAAAGCTGAAATATTTCTATTAGAGAACTGAAAAACACTGTTTAAAGATGTATGTTGGAATTAGTAAATACAATGAGCTATTTCCTTTTTAAATCTTAATGAATACATTTATTACCAACTGAATATTATATATATATANTTTAAAGAAGATCAGATATGAACTAAGAAAATAAAACTTATAGCCTGAATTAAGTGCCTTGCTTTTCCACTTTGGAGGTAAATTATTTTGTTCACATTGAAATTGGAGTTTTAACTAACAATTTTGTCATTAATTAGAATTGGAAATCTATAGCAAACTAAATTGATATTAGGTAGTTCAATAATTACTAAGTATCAAATTTTTGAACAATTTCATTCAAATTTTTGTATGATTAGAATTCTCTTTGATGTCTATTGAATCTGCATTTATAGTTCAAATGACATTATATGGCTTTGGTAAGGGAAAAATAGTATGCAAAAAAAATAATAATAATAATAAATAAATATTAAATTTATAAAATTTGCTATATATAATAAATATAATCGAACACAAGGTTCCTTTATTCTTATCCAGTAGAACAGAATCAGTGATGTCCGTGAGTTAATCGCTATCAAGAGCAGTTATGATGGCAAAAAATGGCATAAGCACGCCCATAACCTAAACAATAGTAATGGGGTGCTAAAAATGTAAAATTAACTTTCAATAACTAACTTTTAAAGTAATAGGCCAAAGATTTTAACACAATAAAATCACAGATTATTTGTGATCTTTTTTTTATGATGCAGGTTATAACAGTAAATGTACATAATAAATGCAAGTAAAGAGACCAAAAATTTGACATAATTTTGATAGCTTTGTTGATAGTGGAAAAACATAAAAGCAATTTGAAACTTAAATAGCATGGGAAATAAGAGTAACTGAAACCAGACAAAAAAAGTGGAACTGTTAAATGAGAACTAAAAATGTAATTAATAACAACACACAATTAACAATGAGTAAAGTACTTTTCACTTCTATTATGTCTTATTAATACATTTTCACTCCTATTATGATGATCTATTAATACCTTTAAAAGCAGATCAGTAAGGTAAAAGCATTCTTTGGCTTAACAAAAACTTGAAAACAAATTTTTTCTTTATGAACTGAAAGTATAACTATAACAGAAAGCAATAGTTTAAGACATGAATAAAAGCAGTGACTAGGGGAAATCACTTAGTAGGTTTGTGCAAAAATAGTTGGTTACTCTCAACTGCTTGTTATATGATTTTAAAAGAGCTGTGTGAATTTGTACAGATATTAATTTATGGCCTAAATAAGTTAACTATAATTTCATTAAAAAAATTTGGTCAGAACTCAAAATCTAAGGTCTAAAATGCTCTCTTAAAATAGATGTACGTGAAACCTTACTTCAGGTCACACGACATATTTTTTTTTCTTTATAAATTTCTTGAGAGTTGAATTAGAACAGAATTCAAAAACAATTTTTATTTTTTTCTTCACTGTCTTGACAGAAATTTTTCTGAAAATTTTTTAATTTCAAAATCAAAACATTGCAAAAACTTAATTATAAAAAACAAACATGTCTTTTTTTTTAAAAAAAAAATAATAATTAAATATTGTAGTATTTACATTTTTCACTCATGAAGCATTATTATAAAAGAACAAATAAGTGTGGAGGGAGAGTTGTTGGTTCTTTCAATTTTGTCACCTTTAAGGGTAGTAATCAGAAGACTACAAAATATAATTTATGCATAAGAATGTTAAATAAAAGAAACACTTTATTTATCTACTTCAGGTGCACAGTTAGATTTTTTTAATTTTTTTTTTTAACTTTTAGTTTTATGTTGTAGTTTCTTATCACATAAATCTGAATCAAATGTTTAACTGAATGAGACACCCAGCATTTTGAGATAAGAATTTAATTTTCCTTACAAGATAATGATGATTTACACACGTAATGCGAAAGAAAGTATGAGTAAAACGAAAAGCAACAATAACTTTTGCACCAGCCTAATATGTTAAACTCATTTTAAAAAAATGTACTTCATGAAAACAAAGCTAGAAACCATAAAAGTAAACAGAAAGTAACTTTCAATGTCAAAAGTTAAAATTTTTCTTCATACAGAAATCTGCTAACCAAATTTTATATTTGGCTACGAATAATGTATTGTATTTTATTAAAAAAAGTATGATACTTCAATGATGGATTAAAAAAAGGGGAAAGAAACAATGAAACAAACACAGAATTCAGAAAATTTCTAAACATGTTTTAAAACATGGGAAAAAAAACACAACTCTGATAATTTAGAATAATTTTAAAAGCATCAAAAGTAATTCTTATTGGATAAAAAAAGCTTTAAAAAAAAACATTTGAAAACACACATTAAAAAAAGCATAAACTATAAATGCCAAAATATGACATTCTTTTCAAACAGAAAGATACAGAGGATACATTTTGTAAAAAGTTAGGTAATAATTTTTCTAAGCAATGCAAAATATTTGTGACCTTTATAATCGTCAATAAATAATTTTAAATTATCAATCTAATTATTTTCATTAATTTTTTTTAATATTTAATAGTATTAAAGAAATTGATAACGCAGAAACATTTAGTTGTCTGAATTATCTCTACATAGATAAAAAAGAAATTAAAAAAAGACTATGTCTAAGAATACTAAACGAACAACAACAACAACAAAAAACTGGAAAACCTGAATGCTTAATGAAATTAGGCAAAACCATTTTTTAAATAATATTTGCAATTTAAAAAATAAATAAATAAATAAAATTATACATAGATCAAAACAATCTTTAGAGCTTGGCTTATTAGCACTAAGACACTCAAGATGTAAAAATAACTTAAATATATTTTATAACATTAACAAAATTAACATATTAAAAAAAATTAAATAGTATCAATAGCAAAATTCAAAGCAATAGAATCATTGAAGGACAAAAGTTTCCCCAATACAATGCAAAATAATTTATCATTAATATCAGAAAAAATTTAAAAATTTTGTTAAGTTTATCAGTATCCGAGAAATTATAAAAAGATACATAAAATTCGAAAGAGAAAAGTTCAATTATTACCAACTTTTCTATTAGAAACCAAATTAAAACCTAAGTAAAGAAATGTTTTTTAAAAATTAGTCAATTGTTAATTTTATTTATTTCTTAGCTATTAGTTAATATTTACAGTGTTCTAGTGCACTCATAATATAATGACCTCAAGTTATGTCTGTTATAGCACAGATCACAAGGGATATTATATTGAGCATTGTTTTGAAATCAAATTTTTTCCATAAACTCAAGTACTAATAATTCTGCAAATTTTTACATCAGGCAGTCGAGTTTTTAGCTCATTCAATTTAACAACCCATTTAATGAATATAAGTAAATTACTTAAATAACAAAAATTAAATTTATCCAATAACAGAAGTGGAATTATTTACTAACAAAAAGTTGATTAATTTAATAACAAAAAGCTGATTAATTTAATAACAAAAGTTGATTCATATAATAACAAAGAGTTTATTCATTTTATTACAACAAACAATAATATGACTTTTATTAATGAATCAGTTACATATTTCCTTAGATTTTACAGTATTTCAAAAGCACGCTAAGGCCTTAAAAATAAATACAACAAATCAAAATTAAATATAAGACTCTTTTAAAAAGCATAAGGTTTTTTAAAAATAAGATATGAGGAAAATTTTATAATATGAGGTAAAAGTAAGATGAAGTATAATTGAAAAGTATAATGAATCAAATATAATAAATTGAACATAATAAATAGAATATAATAAATATTGAATATAATGAAAATTAAATATAATAAATATTGAATATAATAATCAATTAAATGTAAAAAAATATTGAATATAATAATAAAATGAAGTATGTTGATTTGAATAAGATAATAAAATGATTATGAACTAAATATAAGTATATATTGAAAATAGGAAATTTAACACTGTTTATATTTATCAATTTTTGAACACATTCACAAAAAAATAGCATTTATTAATTTTAAAATGTGTAAACAAATCATTAGCATTTTGTTTTTTATAGATTTAGAAATAATTTCTAAAAAATAAACTTGATTCTCAAATTAATTCAACTGTGACTAATCTAATCAGACATATCCTGTTAAGGTAGAAAGTTATTTTAAAGAAGATCAGGGGTGATTGGTGACACAAAGTGAAAAACCCTGAAAATTTTCTGTGCAAAATATCAATATAAATTTATATACCATACATATCAATTTATATACCTTCCATATTTATTTATTTATTTTAAAAAAAAAATAAAATCTATAATTAAATTACCTACCAATGATAAAAATCACACATTAATAGTAACTAATTAAGAAAAATCTTGGTTGTTACAAGCTGTGTGGCAGAATGTTACTTAGTTCTTGCAGGAAGATTTTTCTTTTGTGAAGTAAAAAATTATGATTTTCTTTTCTGCAAAAATTGTAGAAAGAATTTTTTTTTCCTCTGCAGAATTACATTCAAAAGGTGACTTTCTCACGTATCAGAGGGGACAGAAATGCTCATGATTTTTCTATTCTCATTTAAGAAATAATATATGTAGTGTTTTGATCCCTTTTTTCCTTGGCAATTATTGCTAAAAATTTATATTCTCTATTTTTTATTTATTTATTTAATAAAATCTGCGGTTTTTATTGCTCGGATACTATTATTGATATTCTTGTTATTTTTTTGTTGAAAAATGGCAATATTATTACGGCATGCAAGGTTCGAATCCCGGATGCAAGAAATCACTTTTTAACATGCCCAATATCATCGTTGATCCATAAGGTATTTCAATCGTTCTTTCGATAGTTATTGCTACGAATTTCCACATTTAAAAAAGATCCTCAACGTTTTTTTAAAACAATTTTATTACATGTGAAACTCATTATCGCCTATTTGATAATTTGCTCTTTTAATGCGACGATTTCAAAATTTTTTCAGCAGTTATTGCTAGCTATACCAATTTCTACAGGTTTTTTAAAATTCTAGTTATTTCTTAGTGTATATTATTTCTGCATGTAATCACGCATTTAAATAATTATTTTCTGATGCAAATCACAATTTATGCAAATAATATCGTAAATTCATAGTTTTAATTGTATTTTAGAGTTGAAATTGATTTTCATTTTGTTTTTAAAATCCAATATTTATTACAACAACCGAATCTCGAAACGAAACATGCATGAGTAACCCTTTTCAAAAGTTCCGATTTACATGATTTCGTTGTCAATCTTTTTTTTTCGGTAGTTACTGCAGCGGAATTGAGGAATTATAACAAATTTTTCTTTAATGTGATGATTCACAAAAAAGGGAATAATTAGTGTGTTCCCCCCCTCAAAGATGTAAAATTAATTTTATAAAAATAGAATATTTTTCTTCGTTAACACAATGTTTTTATCACTTTTAATTAGAATAATTATTATTATAAGTACCTTGCAGAAAGATATCGGGTCTAGAGAGATCTGTCGCATAAAGGCCGAAAACATTTTGCCCCAGGGCTTACAAGTATTGCAACATTGGATTTTAATAATCGAATGAGTATGAATCGCAATGTTGAATTTTTTAAATTGCATGAATACGAATCGCTATGTAAGATTTTTTAGCTATGTGAATACAAATCCCAACGTGTAACTTAAATGAGGTAAATACGAAAATTGATGCTTGATATTTAAACCGCATGAAAGGAATTGTGATATTAGCGTATTCTGGCGCAGTTTAAAATATTCAAAATGGCAAAAATCCACCAAACTAAAAGAATCGCAAGTATGGAAGCGTCTTGTTAGAGGAAATTAGCGAAAATTTTGTCGGATTAAAAGTTTTTGATTAGCGAAAGTTCAAGAACCAATGGTCTTGAGAAATGCGATATTCCCAGAAAAATCATATGTCCTGTTCCTAATTTTTAGACCTGAAAGGATAATATGAAAAACCCAGAATTCCGGGATACCTACGAAATACAATCACCCCTGGAAGATAATGTCAGTAAAAAGAAAACAAAATTTCTTTTAAGATTTAAAAATAGTCCTGACTATGATAATGTGTATAAAAATAATATAAATCTAAGTGTTATAATCTAAAACACACAAATAGTTCACATAAACAAAAGATGCAGTGAAAATCAAACCTTGGTGTAAATCAAACTTTGATGTATTTCTTAATTTCATTATATTAAAAATAAAATTAGTGATGCTTTAAATTATACTTTAAGTGATGTGAAATGATACAAAGCTTAAAATAAAATAATAAAACTCTGCAGTTATAATTCTGTAGATTCAACAAAACAAAAAAATTATTTGTGATAATTAAAGATGAAAAAATATCATGTAAACCAACAATAGTAATAAGCATGGTTTTGTTAATGCACATTGTTTTTAGTTTGATTTGAAGCTTTAGAATATAAGCATACATTTTCTACCACAGATGCAATTATTGCATGTTAATGCTCAGCTGGCTTGCCACTCCATTCACATACTCTTTCAAACTTTATAGATTTAGTTTCTCTTTATATGTCTATACAATATAGAAAATGTACTTTGCATTTTACTTACAGAAAAGGTTCTTAAATATACATTTTTTTTATATATAAATGCATTATATAAGTCAATGTATAAAAATCTCAATGATGAACGTGAAATATTTCAGCATTATGTACACAGAAACAATTTTAGTTATAAATGAATCAATGTTCAATGATGCATCAAAACCTATTTCTCTAGTCAAGAGACTCATTATCTTTTTCAATGTCAAACCTGAAATTGCAATCCTCATGAAATCTTGACACATCATTCAAAACATGAGAACAACTGACATTACTGGGCGGCGTGACTTGTCTAGTTTTCTCAGACTCAACTTGTTGTGGTATGTTTTCATTAACAGCTAAAGTTTCTAAATTTAGACAAATTGAATTGCCTTCTTTTGGCAATGCTGGTGTCGTACTAGATACCTTATCATCACCATTTATATAATCTCTGCTTGAGTCACTAGGATTAGCAGATTGGTTTTTATTTGGAGAGTTTTCACATTCTGCACTATTACTTATTGTACCAGTACTAAATGTACTTGTGCTGGAAGGTCCATCAAGATTATCAAGACTTTGCATACTCAGCTCAGGGGTAGAACTGTCAGCATTTGTTTCTGGACTGGTGACAGGAGTAAGTTTTTTATTTTCATCATAAATGGGAATTCTTGAACTTGGGCTTGAAGATCTATCTCTGTTGCTGGAGGGATTTTCTTGCTCATCCAAAAATCGATCCATAAAATCCCTAAACAATCATTTTGAAAAAGCAGAATTCATTAAAACGATAGTAAAAATACATTGTCATTCTTCTAATTCATTCAAGAGATTAAAACTGTTAACTTAAAATAAATTCAACATTTTTCCTAACTTAACTGGTTTGCCTATACATTCATTGCACATGTTACTTACCTGCCAACTGTTTCTTGTCCTTAGGATAAATTTCCAAAGTGGTAGTGAAAAAAGGATAATTGAAATAGATAAAAAAAAATCTAATTTGCCAAAGGCACAAAAAAAAAAAAAAAAAAAAAAAAAAAAAAAAAAAAAAANAAAAAAAAAAAAACTATGATTAAATATACTTACATGTATATATGGCTCATTTTCAGAAAAAAATAGTTCATAAAAAATTAATTAAAAAAAAATAATAACTTTAACATTTTCCCCATACATACCACATTTAATAAAAAACAGCAAACACTACACTGTAACAGATAGTTTCTTGGGAAAATAATTATTTCTAATAATTAGAAAAGTACAGGGTTGCCACTCAAATCTGGAAAAAAAATTCCCTGTGTTTTCCCTGTAAGTATTATACACAACGTATTAAGAAGAACGAATTACTGTACTCGTGTATGAGCTATATTGGGCTAACTATACTAGTTTTAATTGCTCGAAACACATAGACTAAAAAAGGAACAGCTGAACATACTTAAATAATGTTATAGTAAATGAAATAGTTTAGTATAGCTGAAATATCATCCTTATATATTCCATAGATTGGGCTTTGAGAGGTCACCATTTTTTAAAAGACAAAAATAAACAATATTCCCTGTATTTTCCCAGTTTCTAAAGAAAAACTCCAAATTCCCTGCATTTTCCCTATTATTTCAGGTGATTTCTAAATTCCCTGTATTCTCCAGGTTTTCCCTGTGGATTGGCAACCCTAATTGAGGAAAGAATATATGTCTACCATAAACCATTTTATTAAAAAATTATTACACTTAGTTGCATTTTCAAACACTAAATATATAGATACTTATAGACATATTTTTATAAATATAACAAAAATATTATTTCTTTTCATTAATTTTATAATAAAAGAGGGAATGACATGCAATAAAAATATTTACATTAATCAAATACTTGTAAGTCATGCTCTATTCACAATAGAATGTACTCCAATTAAAAACAAAATGACCTCTTTTCTTTGTTACTATACAAACTAGATTTGACTAGAATAAGCCATGTGCTGCTATTTACTGATTATATAAAAACAGATTAATTATTTTGTGAGGAAATAATGCCTATTGCCAGAGACAGAATTAAAAATGTTCTAATTTTTTTTAGATGGATAGAAAATAAAGTTACTATGATGGATAAAATTTTATTTAAGTATATTTAATAAATTTTATTTACAAATTATTTAAATATACATGAAGTGATTTCAAAAATAAATATTTTTATTTATTTACATGAGTGAATGAGGACGCAGTGAGGGAATGATATTTTGCTTAAAAAAATATCAAAGATATATTTGAATTCCAATAAGCAAATAGTAACAGTTCATATGTGTAACTAAATAATATTGATAGTTTCGACTACATTTTGCTTTTCCAAAATTATGTTTTCAGGACTCCTGGGATATTAAATGACCACTTTTCTGAAAATGATCCAGACATGCTTGATTTATTTTTATATAGTGGTGATAAAAAAATTTTAAAAACCATAAGCATTAACACTTTAAACTATTCAAAGTATAAAGCAGATGGCTTTAGTATGGACATATATATAATGACCACAATTTGTATGGCTTTTCTTAACCATAATGGCTTTTTTGAATAAATTTTTCAGCCCAGCCAAGGGTTAAGGGAAAAGATAGTTTAAAACCAGATATTGAAATTTATTACGAATTTTTGCTTCTGATATTGATTCTATTTGTACCTAAAAATAGTCAAAGGCAGTGCATAAACATAACTCCCAGCAAGCAAAGGAAAAAATTGAGTAAATGTGAGAACCATTGTGCAGCAATGAATATATATATATATATTATACCATGCACAGGGAATATCAAAATTTCCTTTAAAACAAAATACAAAAAAAAAATATTACACTAATAACTACATACAAATTGCAATTGAATGCAACACTTTGTGCTTGTCAATGGTGTTAAGAAATTAGATAACTTGTAAGACATTAGCAGTGTTATTAGACATTAAAGGTAACATTCACAATAGCAAAATATATTAAACTCATTTTAGACAGTTGTAACAAAATTTTAAATAACATGTAATCTTTAAAAAAATTTCTTAATAAAAGATATTTTTAAAGTTATTTCAAAAGGGAAAGTTCTCAATAATACAATGAAAAAAAAATTGGGAGTTCAAAAAAGAAAATTTCCAACTGATAATACTTTAAATGAAAAAAGAAAATTTTTTTAAAATTTACTTCATACTCAAGTCTCATTTATTACTAGCAATATTACTTGATTAAATTCTGAATTATATAACTAATAGAGTAAAATGAAAAAAAAATTATGCTTCCCCCCCCCCACAATTTTAGGAAATTTGGTAAAACATTAAAACCAGGAATAACACGAGAGAGTGGGAGAAACTTACAAGCAAAAGTATGAACAAGTGAAACTACAACACTCCATCTAAAAATTTTTTTTTTTGCCTCATTTGTACTATTATCCTTTAGAATAATTTGCATAAATACCTCTTATCAAACAGCAAAAATGTTATACAGTGAAGTAATTTAAACATAAATACAATGCAGGTTATCTAATTAGAAAAGCTAACTTACGTTGTTCCCGGATGTAAAGCATATTTTTTCTTTTCAATTCTATTTTTACTAGCAAATACATCATGTCTTTCTGTTTTCTTCCACAAATAGTAAAATTGGACAAGTTCACTCACAGCTCTTGTTCGAACCTAAATAGATAATTAACATATTTTAAAAATTCCAAGTGAAATTAAAACTTTTGAATAAATCATGGAACTGATACAGGAAAATATTCCAACTCAAAGAAAATTTAACCTCAATTGTAGTTAAGTTCATAAACAATTTAGAATTCATACTAGCAAATCAGCAAGAAAAACACAAAATGTTTTTTTTTCGATAGCAAGGAACCTAACTTACAACAGCTGATAAAAGTATTTCATTTAGCTCTTTAAAACCAAAAGGCATAACATTTTTCAACAGTATGAATATTAGGGTATTCTTTATATTTCAACATTATAATCCATATACTATTAAAGGATATTACAATTGGTCAGTGCTCGAAAAACTACATTTCGATTGTTAACTGTGATTACTTTATTACAAATGCAGTTGACTACGATTTTTTTATATAGTTATTAAAAACTACTTCAAAAATTTACTTAACTATTTTTTGGAGATAAATTTTGTTTGGGTAATTTGAATTTCTGCTCATATTCAAGATTTGAAAAAAAAATATAAATATATAAACGGAATGCCAAAACTTGTCTACTGAAAAATTTATATTATGATAATATCAGTGATTATCTGTGGTTGTTCTCGTGAAATGAAGTATTCACTTTTTCCTTTCCTCTACCTCGATTACTTAGAAGTACATATTTTTCTAAATATCAACACTTGAGACACTGAAAATTAGTTTTATTTGTGCCGATTTTTCAGAAAAGTGTTATATAAACTAAAAATATGAGCTTCAATCATCAGAAGTGATATATCCTAATTACAGGTATTTGATTATACTATTGATAAAGCTGATATTAATGGTCAGAGAAGTTCTAATTGTTGTCACAACAGGTTTCTCCAGTGCACCAATTCCATTATTCTAGATAGCATGTAGCTAATGTTTACCAGACGTATTTTCCAATATTTTGGTACATCTTATAAGTTTTTAATTTTATGAAAAATTACTATAATAAAATTTTGTTTATTTTTTTATGTTCATTGACTCTGGAGCATATCTTATTTCGTTATGTGAAAGTCAATATTACATTCAAGGGTTTTGATTGTTGCATGCAGCAGAGTATCTCATATGCAATTAACTTTTACCTAAAGCTGCTACTAATTTTGTGGAATAAAAATGTTTCCTACTATAATTCAAAACATATAGTGGACTGTCACATTTGACTACTCTTCTGAATTTCTGCATTCTGTTTGGAAAAGGAAATATCCTATGAAGATTCATGACTTGCAAACTCTCATGATATTACTAAAATGCTGATGAACATTTCTTTTTAATGCTCATCATATTATCTTCATCAGCAAGTCATTTTTTATCAATACCTTAAGGTAACTCAAGTTTCAATACTTTGTCACTGTAAAAAAGGTCATTAATTGTTTTTAAATCTTCATTAATTTGGAATGACAAATAAAATCTCTAAATTGAAACTAAATTTTTTTTCTATTTCACTTATTAACAACCTTTATTTTTTTAGTATCTTTTGTAAGTTCCATTATAAATCAAAAATTTTTGTGCATAATAAGGAAAGTATTTTACAGGCATTTAGGTTTTATTTTACATAAAGCACATTCAACCTGTTAATCACAATTTTAACTACTATAATATTTAAAGGATAATTTACTTTCGTATTTCAAATAAATTCCATTTAACTAAGTAACAAATGTTTTTTGCATATTTTAAAACTAAATTTTTTTCCATATTTTAATAATTGATTAATCATTTAAATTTATTTTTATTCTTTTACGTAACAAAAAAAAAGTGAATAGTTTTCAAAAATAAAAAAAAACTTTAGAAATGCAGATTTATGCTCACCCTATTCCTTAGTCTATACCTTTTAGATTGCTAAAGTGACATACACAATATAAACAATAGAGAATAGTACTAATAGCAGAATATAATAGTGAATAATCTAATAAGAAAACAAGACGATTTTTTCTGTTGCGGTGAATTTGCACTCTTTCAGAGAATGAAAGAAGAGTGTCTTTTCAGGTAGTGCTAAAAGAGAGTTAAAACTTATCTGACCTAGTTTTGATGAAATTTAGAATGACAGGTATGCATATAATTCTTTTTAAGAAATTTAGATTTATATTTTAAAATTGCCCAAGCTAAAAATTTTATAATAAAATGACAAATTTACTAAACATACGAATGACTCTATATCTTTCCTTTTTCCAAAATGGCTATTTTGGTTATTTTTGCTCTATTGTTATCATACGTAAATAAATCCAAAATACAGTGGAAAATTACTTTCATCTGGCTTTGTATAAAATTACACAAAAAAGTCACAATTCTGATATCAAGTAGTTAATTTTTAAGGGCCATTAGTGTGGGAGCTAAAGTGATTGTAAGTAAAGAAGCTTGTTTAGTGTGGGAGCTAAATTTAAAATGCAAAAAATGTCATAGCACATTTTGGACCTCTTTTGAAAGGCTAAATATGTTACTTAAAAATATTTAGTCTATAATATTTTTGAGCCCTAATATTAATACCCAGATGTTTTGAAAATTGTAGACTTTTTATTTATAACTTATTCCCTATTGCAAAACTAAATAAATAATAATAAACTAAAAAAGACAGTTTTGGGCTCAATTAGTTTATTTTTTAATTATTATTCAATGGGTTTTTAAACTATTTCAAAAGAAAGTGAATTCAAACAATACTAAAATCATTTTATGGTAAAACAAGATTTAATTGTCTTGCTTTTTTCTTAATTGAATGTGTATAAAATTTTTAAAAAATATTTTTAAACTTCAATTCACCTGTCCTAATTGCAGAGTTCAGTTTAAAATCATTATTTGCAGTTTTCTTTTTTTTTCTTCATGAAGTAGAAAATATAAAATAATATCAGTTAAACTTAAGTAATCATAACCCTAAAGTAAGTCTTTTTCAAAATATTATGACCCTTCCAAACTATTTTGAACAAAAGGTTCTTGAATACCATAAAATACCAACTAAGTCCCATAAATTTTAATGAAAACTGGGGAATTTTAAGGAGTTGGTTGAACAGTACAAATAGTAAAGTACTTATTACAATCGGTACAAAACTCGGTAGTAAAATTACAACATCAACATGCTTAATATGTATAAAATTAAAATAGTTTAAATAAATTTTAGAAATATGATGACAAAATACTGTTCTATATAATAAAAGTAATAATACTCTCTTATGTCACATATAAGTAAAGAAACAAGCCTTCTTCGCTTCACAGAAAAAGAGAACTATGCCTCCTAGCACTTAACCAGTTTTTCCTCAAACCGTGAATAATTCTAAGAAAAGCAAAGCCCATTACCTATCTTCTGCTATTTTTTTATTATCTCCTGAGGCATTGACCTTTTAATCTCACCTTGACACAGTTTTGATTTAAAAAAATGGCTGTTTAGAAGAAAAGGTAGTAAAAGAGACATTTATTGGCTCATCCAAATTAGTTAGAAATTGCAGAAGATAAATTAATAAAGGCATGCATTAAGAATAGGGGCACTTGTTAAATATAATACAATAAAATATTTGTCTCCCTTTGAGAAACCAGAGGTGCCAATATGCTATACTAGTAATTAGAAGTACAATAACACAGAAATATACGAGTGCTTATGAAATTGAAATTACAGTAAATTCAAGGTGTATACATTACTTAATTCTAGATAAGTTTATAATACAAGCATAATTAGCTTGTATTAATAGCATTAAGCATACTAACAAAAAGTAACACTTAGGTAAAGGTACTAAATTATAAATTATACAGCACTGAAATTTCATCATAAAATGATAAAATTAAATGTTTGGTTAAATTAAAATTAGGCCATATTGCCTTTTTAGCATCTTTCATTTGAATCACTAAAAATACTTCCTCATGTAATTTTATATTTAAATGTATGTTATGCTTTTTTTTTTAATGTGATAAGATGGTTGCAGGGAGGCATCTTTATACAGCGTACATAGCCAAATTATTCAACTAAAAATAAGCACCTTTTAAGCACTCAAAAAATATTTTTAAGGACTTTAGGCAGGGTTGGAACGTTTTTGACAATTAACGGTTTATCTTGTTTTATCAGTCATGTCAAAAAAAAAAAAACTTTTGGCATTGATTTTGACAATTGTCAAAAATCATGAAATTTTCAACCATGTAAAACGAATGGCGTTTCATACGCTACAGACTGACAATACGGCGATATAGAATGAGGTTGAATTAATTGTGAAAACATTGAATAGAACAATGTGAACTGTCTTTTTGCTTAATTCGAAGCGAAAATCAACATAGTAAAGGAAAAATCTCATTTTGAAAAAGGGAAAATTAAGCACTTTTTAAAAACACCCAATGAAAAAGCACCTTTAAGGGCTTTTAAAAACGGAAATAAGCACCTTTAAGCACTTTTTAAAAACGCTATGCACCCTGGTATAAATCTCTTCGTTTTGTCTTTATTTTCCCATGAGGCATTGACCTCTCAATTTCATCTTGACACAGGTGTGATAAAAAACATTGTTTATTAAGTTAAAAAAAGAGAAGATTAAATCTCAGTTCAAGAGTTGGGCAAACATCTGTATGATTTTTTCTCACCTAATTAATAACTCTTAGATGCACTATTGCTATATGTTTGTTCAATCAAACTTTTAACATTTCTCATTAGTAAATCTTCAATTGCCTTAAACAATGTGAATTCTATATACATATATTTTTTTCCAGTTGAAAAAAAGTATTACAACTCAAGAAAAGAGGCAATAAATTCTTCAATAATAAGAGGCAATATATTCTTCAATAATTCTTCTCTTTCATGGAATTTCATGTATATATACATTTTTTAAGTTTCAAATATTTGTAACTATCCTTCAGGGATGTTGCACCCCCTTACAATGTGACATCAAATTAGGATTATGCTCTTTGAGGCCATTTTAAATTGCATAGCATATAAAAACTGAAACTCACTGTAATGTGCATTGGATTATAAAATGACCACTATAAATGAATAATGAGAATTATAAATGAATCATACTTTACAAACTTAAAGGTGTTTTTTAAAACATAGTTAGTAATAACTACAAAAATTTTCATATGTTTTGTTTGAATTTTTAATAGCGGGTATCTTTCCAATTTAGTTTTTATTACACTTAGGGTTTTTATAAATATGAGAAACTGTAATTCTAAATACATTTTCTCAATATCTCATTTTGTTTTTAAAAAAACTAGGCACAACGAAAACTACTATAATTGGCTGGTGGTTTACTCGATTCAATTTTTTAGGTATATCGGGTAAAACGTTAGAGAAAGCATTTCGGTTAAGAATGCTGAAGCGTTTAAAGTGTCTTTGGGGTCTGTAATTAGAAAGAAGTGTATTTGTTTAGAAATTTCTCTTCAATTATGCCACATAAGTTTGAGGCCCCTCTGAGACCGCCCTTGGGGGGAAATGTCCCCTCTTGCCCTCTCTAGCTATACCACTGCTCTATTTTGAATGGTTGCAACCTAGAAATACATGGACAATGAATCCCACTCACAAACTTTTTGCGTTTTTGCTATTAAAGATTCTTTTAACATACTTGGTAAGCATTCTCAAAGTTTTTTTAATATTTATCCATGCATTAAAAGAAAAAAAAACTTATTATACAAACAAACAAAACCTTCGCTTAGAAAAGACGAAAATAAAACCACAACCATTCTTCTGAAACAGATGCTAGTTGTATCCTTGCCCCTTAACCTTTATTAATCTAAAATAAATTAGTTGGAGGAAATCAAAAGCACATTTCTTTGCTTTTTTTTATTTTTACTTTCATTTGTACCAAATGCTTTTCATTTTTTATTTATAGAATTGCTTTAGTAGAAGAAAAAAAATTGTAGATTAGCTGCAAAGATCCAAATTCCGTAACTCTCAGTGGTTAAGGGTAAAAAGGTCTTATTTTAAACAGGCTATTATGAAAATTCTCAAAAACCATAATTTTCATTACTCAACAGCAAGACTATAATTTTGATAAGGAAATTTAAATAATTATGGGTAAATCTTCATAGATGGAACTTCTGACTAATCCAAAAGTAACTATTTTGAGTTTTTTCTTCTGTGTTTTCACATAGAAATTAATTTTTTGATACAAAATATCACATAATACATTAAAAGCTCCATTTTTTCAAGGATTTGGAATTTTGAACATCAAAAAGCTGCAGGAGGTAGCTTGCATCTGGAAAATAATAGTCCCCAGAGTTGGTCAGGAGAACTGAGATAAGTTTTGCACCCTTAATGTTGATTTCACTTTTTGCATGTTATTTAAAGATAATTTTGTATTAAAAATAATCTTTTTAAAAATTACTTGATATAAAAATGATCGAAAATTTTCCAAATTATAGGATACCATATCATGCTATTTTAAACTATAATTTAAGTGACAAAACATAAAATTTGAATGAAATTGGTGCAATAAAATTTTAAAAAGACATTACTTCTAAAAGAAGTAACTTTTATTTCTCAAGAACCATTTGATCAATTTCATCCATATTTTGTAATTTATAAGTACAGTTTAAAGTGGAGCAAATTTTTTTTCAACCATTATTAAAATAAAAAACAATTATTGAAAATTATTTTATGCGTGGAATTATCTGAAATTAATTTCATAATTTTGAGTAAAAAGTTTTTAGATTTGCCTAAAAACATCCCTAGATATAGCAAAATATTCAAAAAATAAAGTAAGGATTAAGGAGCCAAAAATTTCATTGATATTTTTCTGACTGCAGCCGCCCCTCCTCTCACATTCTTATGGTCAAAAATCCAACAAAAAAAATATGTTTATTTAGAGAGAAAAATTTTTTGTGTCAGATTTCGTAACAAAATATAACCTGAATTAATTAATAGCACATTTGAGGTCATCGCTTTGAACCATTAAGATTGGTAAGTAATTCGAAAAATTCTGATCAACAGAATATAAATTATTTAGAGTTTTTCTTTCTTTTTATTTTGTGCACTGTATGAGTTTTATAAATGGCTGCAAAATATTTTGATTGAGATAATTAGCTTTAAGATAAAAGTAATTTTATAAAAAAAGTAAAACCTTAAAGTACATAAAATTTCATTTTTTCTTCATACTAAACCATTGGGATCCACAATTTCCAGATTATGATTAACCCCTACATTGTCAATAATTAAGTTTTTTTTTTTTTTTTTTTATAAGTATATTAGTTCAAAGAAAGTACCTTTTTATGTTTGCAGCTTGATTAAGAGTTAAAATTAAATAATTAGCATATTAGGTGTGTAAAATATTTGAGAAAAATTTTTTTTTTTGTTCAATAATTTTTAAAAAGGCATGCTTTGTAATATTCAAGACCAAATTATAAATGATCTTGAAACTCATACAAAGGGATGAATAAAAAGGCCTAAGTTTTACAACAAATTTTGAATTTTCACACCACTACATTCATAGAAAAATTTGTAGCCATTTCTATGCATGTTTGTCATTTTTTTTAAAAATTGATCTATTATGTTTTTATCTGAGTGATTTTTATAATAAAAATTTAAAAATTAGCACAGATGCTAACCATGACTTCATAAACCATGCTAACCATGACTTCATACCAAATTTTAGAAAAAATTTTTTGTCATGATGGTGACTAATTTGAAATGCAATGACTCCTTAGAGATTTTTTAGGAGTTTCCCATAAGATTCTCATTTAATTTGGAAAAAAAATTACCTTCGTTTTCTCAAAATGTAAATAAAATGTTTTGTCATATAACAAATGTGGCAATTACTTATTAGGAAACCAATTTCTTTCATATAATTTAAATATATCAGCAATAAGCTGTTTGAATTAAATATGCTAAAAGGTAATATTAAAAAATTATATTCTGATTTTATTAAAAATTAATTTAACTTAAAAATAATTTTAACAGACGTTAAGATTATTTATTTCAAACTTTATTGTTAATGTCAATATTATCAAACACAATTAATTATTCATAGATTTAGCAGTATAAAAATGTAACAGAACACTAAAGAAGGGATGCTTTAAAAATATCATACTTTATTAAGCTGTATTAAATGAAAGTCTTTTCCGTAGAGCTTTATTCCAGCTTCAAAGCTTCTACATTCATCTTCAGACCATAAACTCATGGTATCTTTAAAAGAAATACAAACTAAGAGAAAAACACATTCTTAGAAACAAAGTATAATAGAATATTTCAACAAAAACAAATATCAGAGATAAGCATAAATTTTATATTAAATGTCATGATCAGAGATATTAAAAAAATAAAAAAGTAAAAGGAGACATGATCAATCTGGGTGTCAAATTTTCAAATTAAAAAAAGTCTTTTTTTTTTTTATCTAATCTAAAGTGGATTGAAAAAAGAAAAAAGCAGTTAGGGAATTGTGATTGTTAAAAGGAAAAAAGGGCATGATTTTTATAGAAAAAATTTCCTTTACTGTAACTAAGGAATTATTTAATTTAAAGCGTAAGTTTGAGCATCATTTTATAAAACTTTTAGCTTATTTTAATTTATCCATTAGGAACTGAATTTTAAAAGAACTTTTAGGGATGATGCAATTTTTCTAAACCTAACAACGGCTCATATTGAAATTTTACACTTTTTCTAGATTGACAAATTTGAAGAAAAAAGTGTACATTTTGGCAAAGTTGCATGTAAACATATATTTTGGATAAAATAAAAAAACCTTGTAAAATTCGTTGAGCTCAAAAATGAAATATTTCATTATATATTAGTGTGTTAGTTTTTGAAATGTTGTATTTACTTACATTGAAAATAGAGTATTTTAAAAAACTATTTTTCTATTATCATTCCTGGCTGGTTGAGCCTAGTGATGAAAGTTTCCAAAAGCTCTCGCCTAGAATTTTGACTGGGATTGATTAAAAACTTCGGAAAAAAAGTATTGGCAGATTGTAATATTAAATATGTAACCCCTTAAATAGTTTTTTTTAACACTAATTAGTAAAAAGATTAAAAAAAATTTTTTTTTAATCCACAGATGATGATGTTAAAAACACAACTGAAAATAGGATTTCGGGTGGTAAAATATGAACAGCAAACACTAATTACTAACTCTGATAGTGATAAATAAAATATCTGAAAAAGCAATTAAAGAAAAAATTATATATGTAGAAAATATCCATAATCACAAAAATTTTTAATTGAAGTCTTTAATATTATTAATTTTCCAATGTGTTTCAAATAAAATAATTTTTTTTAATCGAAAACTGAGTGAGATATACCATGAATATGAGTAAGTATGTGTGTTTTACTGGATGTGGAAAGTGAATTGATTGATGTGGTACATTTATTTATACTTTCTTAGTACATATTACTTATTATTGTATATTACTTATTATTATATAGTATTTCTTTTTATATATACTTATCATATATTTATTAATACTTACAATAAAAACTTCAGTTAAAAATTTTATAAAACTTTGTCTTAAATATAGGGGATAATACTCATAGCACAAAAGGAACAAATACATAAAAAATAGACAGCTTAGTATTTTGGAAAGGAAAAAATGAGATTAAGTCTACTTTCAATCTCCTAAAGAAAAACATGCAATACTTATGTAAAGTTAAGAATCAAAAAAGAAAAGCATTTATTTACAGAAAAAAAAAAGATTAGTAAGCAATTTGAAATGAAAAAAACAAAATAAGGAAATGTTAGTACTACAGAGAATAGAAATCAGTAAGAAAGGTTTGATTCTCTACAGTTTGTTTTTCTCCCCTTGTATTTAAAGAAATGTTATAAAAGTGAACTGCTCTACTTTCCTTCATTAAACTTGAAGTTCATGCATCAGAAAAGAGGGTTAAAACAAATTAACGAAAACACAAAAGGGAGAATTTTTAAAATAAAAGTAATTTCTAAGTAATCCAAAAAACTGAAAATTTTAAGCACTAAAAAATAATAACCTCCACTGTAGACCAAAAATTTACTTCAGTATAAAGACAGTTAGCTAAAAAATATCTTGGTTTATGGTGAATTATTTGGGAATAAGTATTAAGGATCATATAAAAATGTTGCGAGTGAGAGGAAGAAGAGAGATAATTACTAAAATACAAGATAATTACTAAAGTGAATGATGGAGGTAAACAGATTCTTTAAAGCATGAATTATTTATCATATTTATTTTAAAAATTATTTTTGTCTAATTCCACTTTTTTTTTAAAACTTATTCTGTGCACACAATGGTATTGAAGCTATCAAATAATACAATAAAAATTGAATTTGTTTAAAAGAAATAAAAAAAAAGTTGTTAAGTAGTAATGATACATCATGACTTTATTTTTTCAACTATACAGATTATGTCCCAATTTACAGAAAAAATTTAATTTGTTTAGATTTTAGCAAAAATTGCAGTATGTACACAATTGTATTTCATTTATATGCACTCTATTTGACATTTACAGCTATGTTTAAAGTGATACCCAAAATTAAAAGTAATAAAAATAGAATTTATTATATAGAAAAATATTTACATATTTTTTTAAAAAATTTTTTGGAGAAGGGGATTTTTTAAAAATTTGATAGGGATTTATTATAAATCAAAGAAATGAATTTCATAAAATTTTAGCGACTACATTTAAAATAATAACATTCTAAGATCTCGTATAGAAAATTCATCTCGTATTAAAAAAAAGTTAGCATAATCTAATTGTCTAGCTATAATTTATGCATATTATGCATAATAAATTTGAGAATATACAAGTAAACAGGAGATAGTCGTAAAATACAGAAGTCTTCCTTAAAAAACAATAGACTTGGCAGGTATGAAATGATAAACTTGATAATAACAAGTTTTAATAAAAGCAACCAATATAAAATAAAAATTATAGATTTATTTTTAAAAATGTAATTAAGTCAAAGATGGATCATAACGTAAATATGAAATGAATATTAAAATGGAGCCGTAGATTTAGTTTTTTAAACCCATATCTGATTAATGAAAAAAAAATTACTTTCTTAACTTTGCCATGCTTTTTTAGCTTTATCATTTACTTATAGTAATACAAAAATACTTTATTTCTACTACATCTATACAAAATAAAGCAACAATTTTAGTTTTCAAATTTTAATATGAAAGTGGAAGCTAATATAAGTATTTTGCAACTGCCTGCAATCAAATTGTCAACCTTTCAAGCCTTGTGAGATTCTTATTGCTGTTATTGTAAAATAAATAAATAAATAATAACTTTAAAAAAAATGAATTTAATTTTTTGCTGGTCAAATTTTTAATAACTGCCAATAGTTAATCAAGTAACCTAAGTCTCCCAGATTACGATTTTTTGAATTTTTAACAGCCAAAAAAGTATTTCATAAAAAAAATAATTAAACAGGATGTGCTTCAAAATTATAACTGAAAGTGCAAAGTAAAAAATGTAATATCAGAAAATTAAGATAAAATACTTTATAAAATAAAATTAAAAGAATAATGCATTGCAACCCATTAAAAAAATTAATATTTGCTTTAAAAATCATGTTTGTAAATTATAAAAATTTTCGTAAATAATCTTGAATCAGATGCTGTCCTAAAACAATGCTTGGACATTTGTGAATTTTTTTTTTTCTGAAGGGGGAGTTTTATTTTAATACTCAAAAGGATAAAACAAATAAAAAAGAAAATATTACATACCATAAACTGTTATAAATACAATAAAACATAATTCTGATATTTGAAAATAATGAAATTTCAGAAACACTAATGAAATCTCCAACAAGATTCAAATAATTCTTTATGAAAATAGGAATACATATCAAATAATACATTTGATTGTGACTCAGTTTTCGAAAAAAGTTGAGGAAAGTTTGCAACATTATTAAATATCAGTAATGCTCCGGATTATTCAGGGCAATTTATTTTGTATTTATTGATAATCATCGATTGTGTTCTGTAGTGTATTGTGGCATACTCAATGACAGATCAATTATTCTAGAGTCTTGTGTCACTTGAATTTCTAAAAACAAGAAAATAAATATACCACAAAATATTTTTAGTTTTAAAATTAACATAACTGTTTGAGTTGAAGACAGACTAAATTATATTTTTGCAAAATTTGTCCAATATAATAAGTATAATAATTTTTGACTAAATCAACTTTGAAATAATAAAAATAATATAATTTACAAATTCCGAAATAAAAAACATCTTCAAAAATCGGACTGTGTAAAAATTCCTAAATGAAAACATAAATTATATTTCTTCAGTAAATTCCAATGCAAAAAATAAATAAATAAATTAAAAAATCGAAATTTATTTATAATTATAATATTTATTTATTTTTGATAAACTTCTTTAAGCAGAAAATGTTAAAACTACAGCCGTGATCTATTTTCTTTCTTATTTAATCTTTAAATATCAGAGACAATTCTGCCTGATCTGACTAAATGTACAATTATAGATAATTTTGCACCATCTTATTATGTATTTAATGTATCATATTGATAAATACGTAAAAAATAAATAATTTGGCTTCAAATCTAATCTCACATGCGCTGTAGGATTTGATTTGGTTGCGTCAGTTAATTCATTCTGAATTCGACACACAATCAATTTAACAAAAAAATTAAGAATGATTGAGTTGATTTTATTTGCATTTGACATACTGTTGATTTTATTTGCATTTGACTACTAACTTAAAAAATCCTGAAATAATTTTAAGAATAAAACGTTAAATTTTGTTTTCAAGTTTTAGTTTTTGATTTCCTTAAATCAAAAATTTAAGTGAAAAAAGAAAGATTTATTAGTTCCACCAGACAATAGCTGGACAGTATATATATTTATATATACATATATGTATACATACATATATACATATATATATATACATATATATATATATACACACATANTATTATATATATAACTGGTTATATATTATATATATTATATACAAACTGGTGCATTAACCTTCTAGTGGAAGGCCGCATTCATAAAGGTTTTTTTTAAAACACTTTTGAGTTTTCTTATAGTTTGAACTACTAAGTGAATACGATAAAGTTATTATCTTAAAAGTTCTTCTAGCACAGAATCTTTTTCCAATTGCTGATGTGTGCACATTATACACATATATATATACAGGGTGTCCCGTAAATGTCGCGACAAACTTCTTTGAGGATAGGGCATGTCATAAGAATTTCCTAGGAAACCATGACCAGAAATGTGATCTCACGCTGCTAGGGGTGATTTCCTATTGTTGACATGTTGTCCGTGTGCCTTTAAACTTGGACTATTTTTCAAAAATATTTTCATTTTATGTTACTATATATTTTATTTTATAACTGTCGTTGAACAGCCAACCCTATTTTTTGGGTTTACGACTTCTAAAGTTTAACTCCATAGCCTTGCAATTTTGAACCCAATCCAAAAGTCAAAAGAATACCTGGACTAAGTATTAGGAGAAATTTGCCTTCGTGGAGGACTTTTTGATGGAACTGACCCACATTTGCGTTACATGTAAAGGGAAACCAACGGTTAGCCTGATGGCAAGGAGACTCTAAACCCATGTTCCGTCTACTACTGAGGATATTTTAAGTCAGCACTGTGGTCAGCGCGAGCCGGACACAGAATTCTTATCGACCAGCTATTGTTGGAATTCGAACCTGGGTTCACCTCATCGGAATGCAAACATTCTATCCCCTGAGTCATCATGGCTCCATGTTACTATTATTTCAATTTTATTTTATAATGGTCGTTGAACAGCCGACCCAATTCTGGGTTTACGACTACTAAAGTATAACTCCGTAGCCTTGTAATTTTGATCCCAATTCAGAAGACAAAGGAGTTCCAAGATCAGTACCCCCAGAGGTTTTGATATGTTATGGGATATGGAGGGCTTAGTGACCCGACATATTGTGACGTGCGCCAGTCACCATTTACTACACGGAAGTCTTCGGCCGGCAGGGATCGAACCCACAATCTCTTTGACATGGGCCCAACCAGGCCTTAGTTATTAGTTGCAATTAGTTATTGTCAAGAGCTCAATTAAAATAGGCTCAAAAATGCTGTTTTATAGTAATTTAATGATTAGGCTAGCTTGTCCAGTTAGTCATCAAATCATTAAATTATGATAAAACAGTGCATGCGGTCTGCATAACTAAGAAGGTTGGGAACTGCTGCACTAAATTATTAACTCATACATTAGCAATATACTTACAGATATGCACAAAAAATTTCAGGTCACTATGCCAAAAGCGCATATATGCTCTTTTGACTTTTGGCATAGGTATTATAGCCATATTTGTTTTAGGTATTATAGCCATAGTACATATTATGTCCAATTATATTGTTGCAACCTTATTTTTATAATAAAATCAATGTATATATGCAAAATAAACAATCCTTAGAATAAGGAATTACATAAGGAATAAGTTGTTTTGTTTTCATATTTTATAAAATTAAAGCATTTTTTTTTAAAATACAGTCAAATCAGGATATCACATACTCAAAGGGAAAAATCAAAAAGTCTGAGACTCTCAAAATTGAATATTTTAGTTGAATTTTAAATAATTTTAAGATTTTAGTTAACATAATAATAACTGTATAACGAGTATTTACTTTTAAAATAATTACTTCAAACGATGTCAATATCTTTGCTTCTTTGTCTGATTTTATATTTTGCAAAAATTCTGTTTCATCTTTTTTTCTAATGATCTTTTAATATTTTAACTTAGTTTAATATTTACAATTCTTCCAATCACAACATACGACTACTTTGCAGCCCACAATAACTACTTCCTCATAAATGTTAATTTCTTTTGAATTCATTACATTAAATTCTTTTTAATCTTATGAGCAGATATTATTATCTAGGCACATATATCTTGCATGTCTACTTCATTACTGATTGATGATTCAAATAACTTCTTGTGGAACATATGAGGCAAATTTAATTAGGGTTCAAGAAATGATTTAAAATTTATTCAAAAACAGCCTTGAAAAACTGGAGTTCAAGAACACATTTTAAATTCTTCAGAAATTTGGAAGAAAAAAAAAGAAAAAGTGACCAAAAAATATTTAGCGAAATCAAAAGTGCATCAAGACTTGACTAAAAAAGCCATTTTATTACTAACATAGACAATGTATTGGGAAATCACTTTTTTTAGTGATATCGAAAAATTTAGGTTATCAAAGTTTGTGATATCAAGGTTTGCATGGTAAAAAAAAGGAGTAAGAGGAAAAAAATTATAAGGTCCACTTTAATAAAAGTTTTAAATAGTGCCTAAAGAATAGATAGAAAAGGTTTTTCCCACTAGCATAAATGACATTAACATTCAAAAGAGGATAGAATTTTGTTAAAAAAGCATTTCATAAATCAGTAGCAGTAAAATCTTAAAAAATCTAAAGCATTTTGACAAATCATCATTTTGATTTTTCATATTTTTCTTATCAGCGAATTTAATAAAATAGCAGCCACCCCTGTGGCAGAATTTTTCAAGCTATCTGCGACGAAAACTTGCAAGCACTAAAATGTTTCTGCAATATACTTTTAATAGTAACTAACATATATGGTACTAATTTAATTTTTAACTACTAATTAACAATGAATAATTACTAATTTAATTTAATAAATAATTAACAAAAGCTCTGCGTTTACAAAAAAAACTTAAATGCATAATAAATAATTGTAATATTGTATAAAAAAAATCGGATTTAAAAACTATTGAGAAATCAATAGCAATAACTTCCAAAAAATGGATAAAATAATTGCCTTAAAAAGTAAATACTTAAATGCACGATTTGAACTTTCCATATTGATCGAAATATATCAAGAAATTTAAAAACCACGTGAAAATCAATATGAATAACTGGCAAAAATACAATCGAAATATTACATCGATGATCGATTTACAATACTATCAGCGTAAATTAAGCGCGTCAAAAAGTGATTGTCTAAATGCATGATTCAAATATTACGTGTAAACTTCTGTAGAAAAGAAAAGGAATTTTTTTTTCTTTTTAAAAGAAAAATCTCTCTGCAAGAACTCTGCAACGCTCTACGATAATATCACCGCGTTTCTGCCATGAGGGGGGGGGGGCAGCCACTATAATTACACTTACTTGTACTGTTTACAAAAATAATAATTACGAGTCCTATAAAGAAAAAAAAAGCTTACCAGGAACAGGGCAGGGCTGCATACGCCGCCTTCTTAAAGCTTCCTCTTTGTTATGCCCACATTGTAACAATAGAAATAATGCCTAATAAAAATATTTTTATTATAAGAGAATGTAAGAACAAAAATTCTTTTTAGATTTAAATTAACATGCATACCTGCTCATCATCTCGAACATGGCCTCCTGTAGGCACAGTACCTATATTACTTCCATTGGTCCCTTTGGGTTGACGGCACTGACGCAAATAATCTTCAACTACAGGTTAGAATTACAATCAAAAATATACATTTCAATTTTTATTAAAATAAACATCATATTAAAATACATATGTGTTAGTTAAAAATTTAAACACTATTCCCCATTGTTCGCTAATAGATTTGCTTAGTGATTTATACATCACCTTCATGTTTTTTTTCTACAGTTTAAATAGCTTTTCACAAAGAAAATTTTTAAAAAAAGCAATATTTCTCAATGATTGCTAACTTAGAGAAAAAGGTTTGTAAGTTTCTTTAACAATGCCACAACGAAGTTTATTTTATGTAGAATAAAATAAAGTTTCAAGCTTCATTTGGTTTTATATTGAAAAGAAATCAAACTTTTGTTACAAAAATTTCAGATGGTAAATTATATTATTACATTTATAAACTTGTTAAGCACTTTTATGTATAGATTTTAGATATATTGATCTTCCCCTTTATTTAAGTAATAGTGCAAAAAAAATTAAATGATTTTTTCCAAGAAATTTTTTATTATGTTATAATTTAATTTACATGTTTGGCCTCCCAATTTCTATTTTTTTAATATTTTTCAGAGTTGAGCAAAACTCCATTTCAACCTTATTTTTTAAGTTTTTTTGTTATTGCTTTTTCATTTTGTTCACACTTCAAGTAATTTATATTCATTTATTTTTTAATTGTAATTTTTGTGATAAGTTTCAATATTACTGACATTTTAATTCAAATTTATCAAAAAACAAATCAGAAAATATCTTTTACATTTTATTTCTTAAAGCTTAATCTTTGCATGGTTTAATAAAACATCTTCTTCATTGTTGTAAATTATTAAAAAAAATATATCTGAATCATGCTAAATTGGAAATTGATAGAAACTTTTTGTTTGCAGTGTCATCTAATTTTTGCTGTATAGTGAATGATAATTACAATTAGTCATTCAGAAAGTAAGCTCAATAGAAAGTGTCACGATGCTATGTTACATTCTCTTCGGCAACTCACAAATGAAAAAATGTGCATATGCAATAGCTCTCCCTTTCTGAGAGATTTCTGCTCACCATGGAACTATTTCCTCGCTTTAGTGGGTTGTAACATTATTCTGGACATACTGTTTTTCAGTATTCTATTGGAATACTTTATTAGAATATAAAGTGTACAAAGAAAAAGTTAAGACACAACGGAAAAGAAATATAACAAATCATGTGAAAATTACAAAATATTACCAATAACAATACAAATAAAACACATAAATAAAGAAATTAAAATTAGAAAAAGGAGCTTTAACGGCTACATATTAAGATTGGATAGAGATAGAATTCCTAGTGTCACCTTCAACTGTACATTAGAGGGAACACGACAAAGAGGACATGTCAAAACTAATTTGGCCTAGGATGATGGAAAAAAGTGAGAAATGAGGTTGGATGGATCAGTTGGAAAAAAGTAAGAGTAACTTCAGCTAGCAGGAAAGAGTGGAGAATAAGACTGAGGACCTTATGTGGGGGTATTACTGGGCATGAAAAGAGAATGATGACAAAAAAAAAAAATTTCAAATTATACTACAACTTTTTATTCTGTAAAACAACACTGTAATGATTTGTTATAACATTGCAAGACCAATAAAGAGAGCTGTTCCAAGCGCATTACAACCACACATAAAAATCTATAATTGCTCTGAATAGTTTGGATCTGGAGTAGGCATGCATATAGTTATGAATAATATAGGAGCCAAAATAATAACCTTATTTTATAACTTATTAACAGTTTTCATCTATAAAAATTGTCATACAAATGGTATATTTTAATCTAAGCGGTTAAAAAAGCCCCCCCCCCTCTCTCTGTAAGCATGTATCTCTCTCTCTATATATATATATATATCCTAGCAACAATGTATCTATCTTTTCTTACATAACTCTTTCGCAATTTTTAAATAAAATTTCCGAAAAAAGAAAATAAACCTTACCATATGACCCTAAAACAACTTATATTTTCTACCTACCTTCTTCATCCGGAAGAGCTGTAGGATCCCATAGTAATCTGTCTTCATTCTCATAAGCTGAAAAATAAATTCAACTTCAGTAAAATTGACTGCAATAAAGTAAATAGACTCTTGCTCACTCAAGACAGCCAATCCTATAGTAATCAAGCTCGTATATATGAAAGTCAAGCATGGATAAATGAAAGTTCAATATTTATAGAATTTGAAAATAGACATAATTACAGTTTGTATAATGTTATAATTATTATTTATTTAAATCTCTTCATTTAGTTATTTAACCTTTTATTTATCTTTAATTTTAAGATATTTATATCCTTTTGTCCAATATATTCAAGTGATATTTTTTACAAAATTTTAATGAAAATAAAATATTTTTACCTATCCAAATTTCACTCCTCTTTTGGAAAAGAATCTTAACTTATTTTATAACTCTCCTTCACTTTTAGGGATCATACCTAAATTTGACTCTCTTCAATTGACTCAAGTATGTGTTATATCTTCGTTCACATGTTATGACATAAAAAAAAAATATATACAAGAATAAATTTAAATAAAATATGTCCAAAAAAATTTCATCATTTATGCTTTCATTTTCTTTATATCTGCAATAAACTAATGAATATATTTTGTTATTTAAAGGCATGAGTAATTTCAGTTGGACACATTCAGTTACTGATTTAAATGTTTCTGTTTATATATGGTTTCTGTCTATATATGGTCAGTCATTTAATTAATTATCACAATTCATTAACTTTTAATTTATTTTGTTCCACCTTATTTTTAAATTTTCATGCTAACAATCTGCTCATTGTCAGCCTCACATAATTTGACTACTGAACCTATTGGGTTTACATACCTTATGTGCAATCACATTTCCTAAACTATCACACTACCCTTCAATTTTTATTAATTTCCTTTAAAATCCTTCAGTCGTTAAATTCTTCTTTGTTCATAACCTTTAAAATTGAATTTATTTATTGTTCTAGCAATATCTGACAATATTAAATTTCCTAATATAATTTACTTAATTATTAGTACCTACTTAATTGTAATATCTGGTGTAATTGTAATAATTGGTGATTATGTTAATAAGAGAGGTTAGGTGTTCATGATAATTTACCTTTACATACCTTGACTCAAATACATTGCATTTCATTCTGGCACTAACTACTTCATTATTTCAATTATTTTAATTTAAAAGCCATAAAAATTTTAACTACTTAAAAGCATGATTTCGAAATGCAAACAATTTCAAATTATGAAATAACAATAATTTTAAAATATAAAATTACAGTAATTTTAAATTAGAAAAATGACTAACGCCCGTATTCACCATTGACCCTAACCCTCAGTCACAGTTCAAAACAGCTTTTATGAGAGCAACTCCAGGTTAGATTCCGAAATTTAATTTCACCGTGTACGTAACTGCGAGTTACTTTAACCCAGAGTTCACTAACTTCAACCTAAAGATATTTTCGGTTAGAGTAACCACGCATGCGCAGTAAACTAGTGTTTGTTTATTTACTTCGTTTTCCTTGTCTGTATTTTGTATATTTCTGTTCTTTTTTGTTTCTAAATTTTAATTGTTTTGAATTTCGATTCTTTTTTTGTATTTTTAACCTGAAGATTTCCCTGGTTTGAGCAACCGCGGATGCAAAGAAGGAGATTTTTTATTTATTTATGTTTTCAAAAATAACACTTTTGATGGTCAGTTGCTTTTTTTATATTCAATGAGGTCAATTTTTTTACTAGATTTAACTATAATTTATTTATATCAATTAAGTGCTAATTAATAAAATGAAAATTAAATAACACTTTTAATGTTCGGTTGCTTTTTTTAAAAGTTCAATGAGATCAATTCTTTTACTACATCAGGGGTGATTGCGAGTCCAAGTCAAAATTTCGGAAAATTTCTTAAATAAAAAAAAAGGTTCAAATCAAAAAATTTAAAAATAATTTAAACAAGTTTTTTTTTCCTTTTTCTCAATATTTCTTAGTTTACCTAAAATATATTTAAAATTTTACACATACCTATATCATTTACACATACCTATGATGACCTGGAGAAGTAATTGAAATTTACAAATATGTCTTTCTTTTTTGAGTTTATGATTATAATAACTATTTACTGATAAAAAATGAATATTAATCTTGAATATAAGATTATAAAGTATCTGGCTCTCTGTTACAAACAAATAAAATAAACTCTGTTTTTAAGTTCCACCTTTGAAAATTTGATTTCCGGAAACTTTTGTGATCAATGATTTTTTGAAACGTCTGAAACTTCGATCTCCGGAAACTTCCAGATCACTGTTGGCGAAAATTCCGGAAATCCGGATTTTTGCCGGAGCACCATCAGCCTTGTTAAAACTACATGAAGTTAAAATGCCAGTCTTCAGTTGTCATTTTTAATATATAACCTGACTACTTTATGACATATGGGGCATATATACAACTGATAAATTCCCATTTACAATTATCTAAATAATTAAATTTTTAAAGGCATGACTTTTCTTAAATTTTAAAAGTTTTGGAATATTTGCTCCCATTATAAAATTTTCCTTTAAAATTTCTTTTATCTCATTCACTATATCTCCGACGGCAATTCTCTCTATCATCGGCAGATGGCAGCACAATAATAGTCATTTATAACTTCTGAATAATATGAATGTGTTGATTTATGCTTATCTGAGCTTAGTAGCTTATTTTATACAATTTAATTTAAAATTTTTAAAAAAGAAAATTCTTCTCAATGGTTTAAGTTATCGATAATATGTTATGCAAGGATGTGGTTGACAAAAAGACAAAAAAGAGGAAGTTTATAACTGTAGCACTAAACGTGCAAAAGAAAAAATGATATGAATTCAATAGCCAATCTGATAATGATTACATAATTATCTATTCAAATAAATATAAATAAATGGTACTTATGTTCTTAAATGAAATCTTGATTAAAATAATTTTTTTTAATAATTTAGATAACTTTGAGTAATCATGCATAGGCACGATTTTATGTATCACATCATTTTTAAAAAAATTTCTTTAATGGTCAAAGGACCTTTGCGGACTTTCTCATCAGTTCTTTATTTTTTTGATGGTCTTTCATTAACATGACTGATCTGTAGACTGCGTTTTGCAGACTTTTGATCATCAGTGTTGGTACGAACGCTGGCCATACTTCTACAACAGATAAAATTTTAAGTATGAAAAAAATTCTTCAGAAAATTATTGAGGGAAAAAAAATGATGATTTTTCAAGAACACGTGCGAAACGCAACTTCTCAGAGCTTCAAATGAAGTTTGGAGAGACAGATTTGCAATGGTAGGGAATTGGTCAATTGAATAGACGAGGGGGGGAAAGAAGAAAGAGCAAAACACGCAGGCATTTGGAATTAGTCATCAAAAGATAAAAGAGTACTGGAGTAGGAGACGGCATTGTTTTACCAAGGTCAACCACTTTTACCCCAGCCTGCAGATTGACCTGTGAAGAAAGGTTTATTGGGGGCTTCAATACTTTCGCTCCGCGAAAAAAAATATTTCAACAAAATATCACTTACTGCATAAAAAAAAATTTTGTGTGGAAATTTATGAAAAAAGAGCGGAAAATATGGAAAAATCTGAAATCCGCAGAAGAATCACATCCCTGGTTACGAAGAAAAAAAAGATAGATTAAAAATATGGATGAGAATGATATTAGCATAATCCCCTTGATCATTGTGTAGAATAAAAGTATTAAATAATTGTGTGAAATAAAAGTATTTTTAATTGAATTTCAGTTACATATCCATAATAATAAAATCTCTAAATTCATAGTAATAAAACTCGGATCCTTTTGCTCATCAATACAAGTCAGTTAGGAAAACGAAACTTAACATCTTTTTCATTTGTCCAGTAAAAGAGGGATTCAAATTTAATTACTCAATGCAATATTTTTTTTCTTCTTTCAATTGAAAAGTTGTTTTAAAAATAGCAACGAAAATTGAAAACAAACACGTACAGTCAAACTATACAAGTTGAAAGATATAAAATTATTGTAAAAATATATTTTGTGGCAAATACCTGGAGCATCATCATATTTTGAAAGACCTTCAGGAACAACAGCTTGATAATCTGAGCCAACTTGGATTGTCTAAAAATAAAATTGAATATAAAGCATTTGTTAATCACATTCTTTACTAGTATAATTTCTGATATTGATAAGAATGATACAACTGAGAAAAATAACAAATAAATTATGCATTATTTTGTTTCAGTGAAGCAAAGGGCAACCATGCTTGCATTTTCAGTTGATTTAATTTCTTATTGAAATTTTCATGTCTACAAAATCTTATATAGTTAACTGCAATGCATTGTGAAAACCATGCTTGCAAGGCAAGAAAGCAAATGGTTTTTATAAAGTTATTAAAATAATGAGAGTAATTCTTAGCAACAAAATTGATACTGACAAGAAATATTTAAAGTCACAAATAGTAAAATTCATTCAAAATCTAAACAAATTTTGATGTCACAAAGGTACACCTTCATGGATAGGACAAATGCAAGTGATAGTAAAAGGAAACTATATAAATAAACAAAGGTTACATCACACTATAGAGATAAACGTATAGTTAAAAAGTAACAATATTAAATTGAGAGTAAAAATAAAAAGAAATTATTTCCAAATTTAGAAAAATTTGGTACAGCAGTCAATATAGAATTGTTGTTTTTGATGAAAAGGAAACTGTCTCAGAAACACAGGTATTACATTTATGAATATTAGGTGAGATGCCATTTTAAATGTTTGTCAATTTTACCTTTCATAAATTCCATCCATAATTAATTAGGGTTTTATAAAAGCTAAATATAATAAATTTTGCTATAATAGATTTAAATCTATAATTATAGCAAACTGTCAAATTGATGTCCAAAAAATAAGTAAAATATTTACAAATAAATGAAAGTAATACTTGTTGAAATTTAACTATTTTACTTTATGATAAAGTATTGTTATTTGAAAATATTCTCTGTATTCTCACCTTTCTATTTTAATGACCTAGTCAAATTTTAAGCTGGCTTGAAATCAGAAAAGAGTGCAACAGGATCACTCTTTCATCAACAATAACAAATAAATATATCTTTCCTTTCCAAGAGCAAATTAGAAACAAAAATTGAATACAGAAATAAAAGCAGTAAAACTTGAAATAAACAAAATTGTTCAAGGCATATATTTAAAACATTTTGATTATAAAATAGCTAAAAGATATATTCATTTAAAAAAATACTTATAATAATTTTTTTGAAAATTGCAGGGTTGCCACAGAAAAAAAATGGACGAAATTGTTGCTTTTAGTAGCCTAAAGCATGAAAATAGCTGCCTAAATAAGAACAAAAATTCATCAAAAATATTACTTAAATTTTGTTAATGACTTAATTGTCATATACCATGATCCATTTAGTCAAATAGGAGGCAAATATGATAATTTTTATATAAACGTTAAGGTTCTAACACAATTTTCCCTTTAATCAATAATTTATCTAGGAAATATCTACAGTCACACCCCGCAATAGCGAACACGGTTTATAGTGAACTCCCAGATATAGTGAACAAAATGTTCGGTCCCATGCCTTGCTATACATAGATAATGTTATTTTTTGTGGATATAGAGAACCAAAAAAGTGAGGAGGTTGGATATAATGAACTTTTTTCTGTCTTCAACTGATCTTTTTTGTAATAATTTTGAAATTTCAACTTAAAAAAAATACATATACCAATTTTCAAAACCATCTATAGAGGGGAATGCAGCGATAAGCATTTTTTCTTGTTTGCTTCTTTTATCTCACTTTCCCCTCCCTAGACAAACAAAGCAGATGTTTCCAACCCAGGCAGACGATGCCCCTATAAAGGTGTCAGTCGGATCAATAAGCATTTTCTGACAGAGGGAATGGGCAATTATTCATTATTGGTCAAAGGGTTGGACACTAATATGTGCTGATAAGGCCCTTATTTCAACTCCTTTTTGCTCTCAGTTCAGTTTAAAAAATCCTGCAAACAAGTGTCTCAAATTTAACTATGGCGAGCAGTAAAGGTAAAACGTTCTCCATTGATGATAAAATGGGCATAATCAGAAAAATTGAATATGGATGCATTTAAGCTGATATTTGCAGGGAACATAAATTATCCAAATCTGCAGTTTGTAACATATGGAAAAATAGGCAATTAATAATTTCTGCTCATGAAAGAAATTTAGATGGCAGAAAGAAGTTGAGAAAAGCAGATCACAAGGATGTTGAAGAAGCATTACTAAAGTGGTTCACCAATCGAAGTATCTGGACAAATGTCGCCGAATTTGCTAAGCGATTTTATGAGACTACTTTTATGTGCTTGAATGGCAAGTTAGACAGGATTAAAAAGCGGAATAACAGAAAGTCAGGAAAAATTATCACAGATTCGGGAAGTTTTTCCTTATCTGATGTTGAGGATTGCTCATCAGCTAAAGATTACTAATTTTTTTTTGTACGCAAGACAAAGAGTAATGAAAAAAAAAACATTTATTTTGCTACTACATAATATTTTTCAGTCATTTATTTGAATATTGTGTAATAAAAGGGAGGAGTTCGGGAACCATTAGTTAAATTGCCTGCGTAACGGATATAGTGAACTCCCGGTTATAGTGAACAGAAATTTCAGTCCCTTGAAGGTTCACTATAGCGGGGTTTGACTGTATATATATATATATATACACACACATATTCTGAAAAGTGATTACTCAAATTCAAAATTCATGCATCGTAATATCGTATTAAAAATTGTTTTTATTTTTAAATCAAGCGAAATTTCGAAGCAATAACTATTGAAAAGGTGACCGAAAAAATTAAATAGACTTACAAAGGAATCTGCAGATAGAATGAATTAAAAAGTGAATACTCAAATTTGCAATTCAAAATTTTCAACATTTTTTATTTTTAAGAAAAAAAAAGTCTCCCAATAGTCTCCTCATCCTCAAAATAGTTGCTTTTTTAGCCTTTTCAGGCAAAGATCACCTCATGCCAAAAATAGTTGCATTTTAGCTGTCTGTGGCAACACTGAAATTGCAAAAAGCACAAATTTGCAATGAAAAAAGTTTCTGTACCAAAAGACAGTGATGTTTTTTAAACAATCAAATTTTATTTTTTTTATTTCTATAGTTTCATTATCGTGACAACAATGAAATATAAAAGGAAAATCAACCAATAAAAAAACTAGATATTGTTTTAAATAGAACACATGCAAAAACAAAATGTCATCAATGTACAAAACCAAGTTGAACTGTGCAAAATGTTGATAGGACTAAATCACATTAGAAAATATTAAAATGACAACTGGTAAAGAAAAAACATCAACAAAAAAAAAAAAAAAAAAAGCCTTTTTTCTGAATAACTGAAGACAAATCGAAAACTATTAAAGAGAAACACAAAATGATAAGCTTAAAAAAGCAGGTACTTCTTCATATTTCTCGAATGAACATATTAAAAAAAGATTTTAATAAGGACTTTAATTCACTATGAATATAGTTTTAGTATGACTCATTTACAGAAAATTACACTATCTGTTTTGTACTTTATACTTTTTAAAGAAAACTAAGAGTTTGGATTAGTTATTTAACAGTTATACAATATAAAAATTGAATGAATAAAATTAATTTTATTTAATCTTATAAGAAACTTCACAATATTTTAACAATAATTACAAAATGATACTTAACACCAGCTTGGGATTTCATGATTATCAAGCATCAAAATACTGGTTAAAAAGAATCAAATACCAGTTACTGAAAAACACAACCGCAAGTAACACTTTTCTGGTCTGGTTTTTCTATCATTTTTTGTTTCTTTCCACATGGTTTTTCAAATTCCGATTTGTTTTTAATACAAGGTTCTTACGATCAGCGAATTTTGAACTGAAGTATTAACCTCTTTTTAACCAAATTGTTTGGTGACAATTCCCTTTTGAAATCATTGTTTTTCCAGCACATTTTACATCGTCAATCATCTTTTCTCCAATAAATAAATTACAATTACATGAGCATTTTGTTTAAAGAATAGGGTTCCACCATATTTCATGAAAAAAATCCCCCGACTTTTCCACGTATATCAGGAAAATTGCAATGAAAATACAGATCATATTTATCTATACCATGTAATTTTTCATCAGAAAACTTTGATTTTATTTGTAATGTCAAATATTAGATTTTGTAATAAAAAAAACATCATTAAATGAGAAGGGAAACATGAAAGTTTCACTAAAATATGAAAATTTTAAAACAAATAATTCTAATAGGTGCTAGGATTATTTAAATCAAATATCACTAACTGATTACTGATACTGACAATTCCAAGACTGGTCATTTTCCAGCTATTATACAGGAATTTTCCAAGTTTTTTTTTTAGAAAAATTTTAACTTTACCCGACTATTCTCTGCTTTTTAGAAACATAATAAAATGTCCTGACAATTCCAGGTTTTCCCTGAAGAAAGATAAAATCATTGATAACAAAACAGATATATAGCAAAAAAACAAAATCTCATTTTTAAAGTTAGCTATTTGATAATTTCAAAAATTGATATAGACATACATCAAATATATCTTAAAATAAATTCAACAGCAATTATATCTTAAAATAAATTGTATTACAATATCAAATAATAATACATTACTCCAACATTTAAATTTAATCCAAAAAAATACATAACAGGACAAAACTAGACACTTAAAAAAAAAAATCATTCAAAACTTTAAAAGATATGCATGCAAATATACATTCTCTCATACAAAATACAAACAAGCAAATGTCACAGAACAAAAAAAAAAAAGAAAAGCGAGAAGAATACAAAGATAATATTTATGTACATACACAAGAGCGAAACACACCGCTCGTCCGCGAATGCTACAAGGAATAAAACCAAAAAATTACAATAGCGAAAAATCCTGCAAAAAAATTTTATTAATTATAAAGACTTGACAATTAATGGAAATTTTAAAGGCAAAACCGAAACGTCTTTGGAAAGTGCCTTGTACATAACTTAGAATTATTACAAAAAAATAGACTATATCAAAAAGTTTAGGGTAGTGTAGTGATTCCATATTTTTTTTTAAGTGAATTATATAAGGAGATAAATTTAACTATTCATTTTTATTAAACCTTCACTAAAAATATGCTACCGCTGTGCAGTCATGCTAAATTAAGCTATAATGAAACTGGTAAGTGGGGAGAAAATTCAACAATAAATAGAAGCAAAGAGAAATGGAAAAGATTGATTGCCCATGGTTTATATCCTTATTTCAAAAAGATTTTTTTTTAGTTTAAATGCTGTTAACAGACGAGACAAAAAAAAAAAGAAATTAAAACTAAAGGATTGCAGCCATGATCGTTCATAACTGTTCACCTCTAAATCTTAGAGAGGAGTATAATTAGGTTTTAAATTAACTCTAATTTAATTTCACTGTTTCATTTATAAAACTACACTAACTTGTAACAACCATTATAGATTAATTAAAATTTTTAAATATATTAACTGATGTTTTTTTTTATAGTTGTGAAAAGTTCATTTCATAAAATTAATTTAGCCATCTCTTTTTATATAATCTTCTTATATCATTAAAACAATAGTCAATTATTTTACGTCTAAAACTGCAGAAATAATTTAAAAGCTAGGTGTGGTATGCAACTCTAAATGTAGAATGTAGCACACCCACAACCAATTTAAGGTGTATATTGTGTAATAATAATATTAATAGCCTCATGAGTTAAATATCAGTTATGTAATTTATGCTTACAAAAAGATCATTAAAAACAAGAGGCTATCTTTTATTTTAAAACCACATAATTACTGAAAATCACTAAAATATATTTGCAAAAACATTCTTTTTTTTCAAAGTAGAAAGTTTCAAATAAATTAGAAAGTATAACAATTATAGATAACCTTTTGAGAATGCAATCTTTAAATTCATTGGGTGATAATTAAAATAATACAGCCTAATTTCCAAACAATATTCCAATATAACCAATACAGCTTTATAATACAGCATTCTCTGCGGTGTCAACCACAGATTTGTTTGTGCCACTATATTGGTTAAAATTAAGTTCTTAAGCTTATTAATTTAAAATATTGTTACTTTATTACTATCTAGATTAATTTTTTATTCTTATCATAAAATAATTTTGTGGAAAAGAAATTTAAAATTACAAAAAAAAATTGTCTAACACAATATATTTTGAACGTAACTCAAGTATATTGTACGTAAAAAAGCATATAACTAATTTCAGTTACACTAAATTACATAGACGTATTTTATTCATAAATGAATTACCTTCCTCCAATCATCATCTGGAGAGTAGTCGTAATCTGTCCCAGTATCAGAAGACTCACTCGCTTGATGAACAGCTGTAAATATTTAATCAAATAAGTTCATTACAATAAATTTAAAATCAGCAATTATAATTTCTGATACACTGTATATCCTATAAAGCAGCAGGATAGTATAAAGAAATTAATGTAAACCAATTTCAATACTTTAAATATTTTCTTATAACATCCCACACAAAAAGTTTATATAAGACATAACATGCAATAAGTATTTGTTTCTTATATAGCAAATTTTAATGTAAAAAAAGAAGAAAAACTCTACAAGGTTGCCATTTTTTGAAAGAAAAAAACATAGCAAAGTACATACGTAAAAACATATCAAGATGCCAACTATCAATGGCAATGATGTTTCTTGGGGAGAAGCTTTAAATAGGTACAAATCAAAAATCCATAAAACATGATTCTAAAATTTTCTTCATTATTTTTGAATGTTTTATATAAGATATAAACTAATCAGTAAAAAATAAAAATTATTTTGGTGGAGAGAGAAAGATATGATTTGTCATAAAATAATCAGGATACATATATCTTTCAGTAATTTTAACCTGTTAATACTGTTAAGTGTAATTCTAGATAGATTGTAACAGTATAATTGGAAATACTTCACTGTAATTGATACTTTTATTATCAATCAAACACATGTTATTCTCCTAAAAAGATAATAACGTCATAAATATAGGTGATTAAAATAATACATAGTGAACAGATTAGAAAGCTTACATCTTAAAAGAGGTCTAGAACAGCTTATTGTTGCATTTTCTTGAAACACTAAGTTCATAAAGTCCTCTATCTTTTCATCAGATGGATTACTTTCAGATTCTGGTGAAGGAAGACTATGAGTAGTAAGACTGTGTGGAGAGTCATGATTTTCTAATGTATGTTCTGGCGAATCGATTGGTGAAGAATCACTTTCATGTTCAGTTGCGTCTTGTCCACCTTCCTCGAAGTCTAAACCTGATTCATATCCATACATGGCAAGCACTTCATTTAAAGGCATTTCACCTTCCTAAAAATTTATAAGTAAAACATTTAAAAAATTATTGTGTCATGCCATCTAAAATGCCTAATTAAAAAAAATAAGATTCCAAGTAAAGAAACAATGATAAATTTCAATATAATTATCATACCCCATAAATTAATCATAAACTTTAATAAAGATAGAGAATGAAAAAAAAAAAGTAAAGCCTGAAAAGAAACAAAATTTCAAGTCATAATACTTTCTTTTGAAGTCAATTTATTTAAATGCAAAATTGAAGCTATAAATATCATTTATGAAAAGAAAGTCACCCTAAGAAAAACTTAAGATTTAATTTTTGAAATTTCTGAAAAGTAAATATAACTTTCAGAATACTTAAGAAAACACATTTTGCTATTGCTATAATACTATGTTAAAATTAAGCAGTATGCTTGTTACTGATTACGAATAGCAGTAATTTAAATGTTGAAAAAATGAAATATATACACATATGGCTGAAGATTTATTACCCAATAATATAGTTAAGAGTCACAGTATATAGTCACAATATAAAATGCAATATATAAACTTAAATACAGGGTTGGCAAGTTTCTGATGCTTAACAGTTATTACCAAATTTTTACAGACAAGTCAAAAATCTTTCTTCAAAATCCAGAACTTAGGTGATATTGAATTTTCATTTTATTTTAACTTATAAAAAGTTATCGTAAATCTTAAAGCATATATATATATATATATATATGCACATTTTAATATATATTTATTTCTATTTAAATGCTTTAAAAACTTCTTCTTAAAAACAGTTAAGAGTTATGAATTATTATGAAGAATAAAAATTATTAAATAATGTGAGTAAAATAGCAATGTCAACTGAGTA